AATGTCATAACTGTCTGTAAGTACATACCCAAAAGGAAAAATGTCTAGCAGTATTTTGTAATGGAAAGAGTCCTGGCTAGCGGGGGAGTATGAAAAAACATGTTCAATTTTTTACCTAACTGAGATGCAGAACTAAAAAAATTTTTTTGATTCAACCAAGATGTTTGAGTTGTGTGAACTCTTGTGTCCACAAGTTGAGTCAACTCAAGAAAAGCCATGGAATCAGTTACTATATCATTTTGAGTTGAGCTGACTTTTGATTTTTAACAGTGTAGTCAGCACAGATTTGTGCAGAACATGCACTGACTGATGCACACCCAGGGAATATTATGGTACATACAATATACCTTGCAATATTATACTTCAACATTACACTGTAAACTGAACTTTGACATACATAGGAATGATGTGTAGCCTACTGATGGACCAAAGTGCAAGGCCATAAACTCTCATTACTTTGTTTTTATACAGCATGAAGATTTGCTAACCCACATGGACACTCTGCATCTCAATGCACATTCTGGTATTTCCTCATTAATACCTCCTTTTCGTTTAGTAATCATAACAGCATTATAAACATTCTCATAGTAGTTATTATGATGTAACAAAAAAGAAGACAATAACACTGATTTGTCAACTATCTGCTATAACATAAGCTGCCTTTCTTTTACTGTGTTTTTTCCATTTATCTTTTCTAAGAAATCCAGCCGTGGCCAGCCTATCCGCAGCCTACTGGAGACGCAGGGAACTACTTTGCGAACCCTTTGATGGGAGTTATTCTCCAGCCTGGCATGCACAATAACATACCAGCTCCTGTACCTTTTCTAGCACAACAACACTACACTACAGGTATGTACAAACCTATGAGGAGTTTCACTGCACTTTGTATGTGAAATATTTGTATTAATTTAAATTGGTTTAGTGTGAGGGTTAACAATGGAATAAACCAAACTACTATGTTGACTTTGTCATAAAACTCATATCTACAAAATGGTAACTCCATAGAAGGATAAAGCATTTTTAACTTTGTCTGTTCATTTAATGAGATTTTATTCAAAGTAATTTTTATTGATCCATTTGTCATGAAATGTTCAAACACTATAAATGGAAGTTGGCATTTTCAAATGGAAAAAATACCAAAAAAACAGTTTTGATATGGTAGCAACGACGATAAACAGTACTGTGCATTTCCACTCCAAACGGGAATTAAGTAGAAGTTATTCATTTTTTAGTGTCAGGAAAAAACAGGGAGCATATATTTAACATAAAATTAAAGTATAATATCAAATTTGACTAGTTAATTTATCCAGTCTTTTGTGTACTCTACTACCACTTTAACTCTTCTGTGCTTCCTACTTTAAATCAACAAATTTAGCTATCTTCTAAATTTTTTTATCAAGTGCATCTGAAATGATTACAGGAAATATTTTTGAGGAGATTATAAGATAATCCACTTGCAAAAGGAGGGGTAAAGAATAAGTAAAAAAAACAGAAGTTTTCAAAACTGGAGTTCAAAAAATGATGAAATGATTTAGAGTAAATAGAACTCCTAACAACAAGACCTAGTAGACCACCAACACTGTCCCCATCAGATAAACAGTACTTAAGGCTTTCATCTTTGAGAGAGAGGAACATCAAGCTCCACTCTTGCTTCAGATTTTAAATCAAAAACACACACACAGATTTTCATCCTTCTACTGTAAGAATACAACAGTGTGAGTCTGAAAGGGTGTGTAGCTGTCAAGAAGCCCATACTGAGGAAAGTAAATTCACAAAAAAGAAAAAAGAGATGTGGAGTCTGAATTTGTAACTGGGATTACTTGGATCGTGAGAAGCTGATGTGGAAAAGTATGCCTGCAGATTTCTTTGAAAAGAATGAAAGCTGCAAAGTTTCTGTGTAATTTTCAATGTTTTTTAATGTAAATACTTAATGGCTGCTTTGACTGGAATTTAAAAAAAATAAAAGCGTGGTCTCTGACTATTGCACAGAATTTAGTAATTTAAAACAAAATGTGACCAGGGTACCCAGACAGTAGTTAATCCCTTAAAATGCAGGCTGATTATTCAGCTGTTTTCAAGACTTATTAAGTAATTACCATGTAGCTACTATGAATTATGTAACTCATGCATTTATGATAGAGAATGGAACTGTGAGCCCACATACACACTCTAATGTTGCGTTTACATGTTTGAATTGTGAAAACCGTAATTCCGCACCTCGCACAACGGACAATGGCGGCACGAAGCCACACAAACGTTAGCATAGTGACAGCGAAAATGGATGATTATTAGAGGAAAACTTTAGCAGTGTAAAAAGTCAGGAGGACGCTCTGTATTCTTTAATGTTTGCTTGTATAATAATGGGTTTGTGTGGAATTCAACAAGACATTTGGCATCCATGGCTCCCAAAAAATCAATATCAGTTTTATTCCACCGCTCCAGTCAACTTCAAAAGTTAAGAAAATTCAACTCTACATATGGATGGAAAACAATGGCATGTTCAGTTTGCTGTTGTCCATCTACTGCAAACGTGAATGCAGCATTAGGGTTTAAGGGACTGAATTACTCAAAAATACAGAAAGTGATGTTCTAATCCTGTGTCTGCATATGTGTCCTTTCAGTGCCCCACAATCCAATTGAGAACCTGCCGTCTCCGTATGAGCTGGAGATTTCCATTCACTACAGGAAAGCTGAGATGCTGAAGGTGCGGCGCTCGGCTCCAGTTGTTCAGCTTCACTACCACTGCCATCTGTCTGAGCTGAGGGGTGAGTCCATCCCTTTCCCCAGCACTGAAAGCCTCATCGACCACAAGCAGGTCCAGTACACTAAGCGCATCCTGGACAACATCCAGAGAGGCCTGCTGTTGGAGGTGACCCCAATGGGCATCTATGGCTTCCGACAGGACAAGTGCAACGTGTTTGTCAGCACCAGTGATCCTGCTGAGATTCAGAACCCAGAGCCCAAAAAGCTGCTCCAGAACTGCAGGGAACTGCTGTTCAGCTTCGATAAGTACACAAAAGGTATGAGAACAGAGAAGTAAATGTGCACATCTTACTGAACCTGTCTGTAAACATGCCTCAGCGGTTGGGAATTGTGTTGTGTTTTGTATTACTCAAACACCATGAGATTGTACTGGACATCACCCAGTTAACTGACCATATTTTAAGTGTTCGAGCAAATTTTGAAATTCTGACAGTTTCCTACAAAGGTTAGTTCCAAGTCTAACTTACCACACCTACCCCTAATGATCACTTGTTCTTGAACTCTTCGATTAGGTGGATCAGGTGTGTTAGATTAGGGCTGGAATTAATCTCTGTGGGGTGAGTAGATCACCAGGAGCACAGCTGGCCATCCCTGCCACAGAAGAACCACTTTTGGTTCCCTAAAGAACCTCTTAGTGGGTTTTAGCCCAGTTAAAACCAAGACATGAAAGGCATTTTAGAGAAACCAAAAGTGGTTCTTCTATGGCATCGTTCAAAAGGACACATGTTCACTGTCATTTTTTGGCAAATGATGTCATATCTCCTTGTTCTCGCTGTATCTTCTCTGAAGCTCTGCCTCTCTTTCAGATCTCAGGGATTTCAGAGAGAACTGCCGTGGATCTCCTGAGTACACAATATATTTGTGCTTTGGGGAGAAATTCCCAGATGGAAAACCACTAGAGAAAAAACTGATAGTTGTAAAGGTAAACCGATGTTAGTCTTTTATGCACTTACAAACACATCACATTTTTCGTGCCAGTCCAGAAATGGTGATCTATTTATTTTTTTTGCTTTTAGGTTGTGCCTTTGATCTGCCGTGAGCTTCACAAGAGAGCACAGATGGACGGAGCATCATCTCTGCATAACGACAATATCAGCCTGCAGATCTCCAATAGCCTGTTCGACCTCATCGACTCCACATTTTTGCCACCCACAGCTGACTAAAGACTGCAGAATGCTCTGTCTCCCAACTGATAAACACCACTTTAACAAAGTTACTCTCCTCACTCCTTAGCTCTCACTGTTATGTACTGATATACTGGATCAGATAATAATCATGTATACCAAATGTAACTCATATGATAGTGAAACTATAAAATGGAATGATGGCCAGATGGAAGGTAGTCTCAACCTTATGATCAGCTTTCACTAGTTTTGACATTACCAAGAACTCTCAGTAAAACACCCTGACTTACTTAGAACTTGGAAAAACCCTCATAACTCTAGCAGTCAGCAGGTCACAAACCTGTTTTTTTTTTTTCCAGAGGGACAAGTTGTTGACAGTTTGATAAGAAAATTCCTAAAGGCTTAAAAAAAAAAAGGAACAAAAGCTTAAGTTAGCTTTTTGCAGTTTTAATATTGGTCAAGTTGCATAATTGGAATTTTTTTATTTTTAATCAGAACCCAACAGTCTTTTCACTCACTTTCGCTAATGAGGGTCTAACCTCATTTGGGTATTTTATCTTCTAATGAAGAATTCCCCTTACTCTGCCCAAAGGGCTACTCTTGTAATACCTTCTTGTTTGTTACTTTAATATATAATATTTTTATTTACTTATTTGTGGATCTTGCAAGCTATATTATCTGGTTTTGTATCTGTACTGCACTATGATGCATAAGCCTTGTTGAAAATACTAATTGTGCCCTGGTTGGTTCCTGTGTTTCACTGGAGTAGAACATTTACATCATGTAAGCGTAAATAAAATAAAACAAAGATGGCTTCTGTTTTCTCTTTTATTAAACAAATTTCTAAAGAAAAGTATTTACAAAACAGCAGAATGGATTCTCCAGTTCACAATGAGAATCAAGTACAACTGAATAAGGACAGCGAATACCATATTAGGTGGATATCAACAAGCTGCCTCAGGCTACTATGAGAATATTCTGTTTTAGTCTCTCTTGTAATAAGCCTATTATACTGAAGTGGAAGTGGTTTTGCATTACTCATGCATTACCATAACAGGTGCAGCCTAAAATTAGTCGCCAACCTGTGACTTTGTCATGTTAGAAAGGAGAACACTTCACCAAATATGATAATGCCTCCTTTTTTCATTTCCACAATGTTGTATTTGTCCTTGACAGGGAAACAGATTACTGATGCAAAAAGGAAAGAAAAGAATAAAATTAACATCAAAAGCAATTTGCTGAAAGATGTGTCTTTAGAAAGACAAAATCTGTCATTTAAGAGAATATCATTCACAATTGTGGCCCTACCTCATTGTAACAGTGCAGCACCACTCTGATCAGACTGTGCATCTTTGTATTCCTTCTTACTCCAAAGCTCTGTCCAATGTGTCCATAAAAAATTAAACACAAATCATCATTGGCAAATGACACAGCTGTGTCATATTTAGCAGAAACTCATTGGCAAACACATTCAGAAAATATAATTTTATATTTAGTTAATCAGATGTATTTGAAAACTGCAGTTAAATGTTTGTTCATGTAGCTTATGTATGAGAACAAAACCAAAAATGTTAGCTTTCAGTTTAACTAAAAGGTATATTACAGTTGTGTCAAGGTACAATAGTCAGTTCCTCAAATTAAACTACACCATGTATATAAAGCTAAATTTCTTGTACATTGCTCTGCTTTACTCTGGAAAAACTGTAAAAAACACACACACACAAAGGCTAGAGATGATGCCAGGAGTCTAAAACATCCCTTTACAAAAGCCGGGCGTTGAAAGTACTCACTGGAAGTTAATCAGCAGATTTTCAGTTTAAATGAATATTCTCTCCAGTGTTTGTTCATACCCAGAGAATTCTATGTCTTAACTAATGCTTCTTTGCAGACTTTCCACAACGGCATGCATACTGTTACCAACAGGCCAGTACACTCTAGGCTTGTATAGCCATCCTGAAATTCAGTCAGAAATTAGTTGCAAGTCAAGGAGAATTCTTTTCATCAAAGATGAAACCTGCACTTTCATTGTTCTCAATGAAATCTATAGCACACTCCAGTATAGGCTGCTCTCAATGAAACTTATATTTCACTGAACATATGTAACTACACCATCAGTGTCCAAATCCTTTTTATCAAACAACCATTTTTCCTGAACAGGGCTGCTTTTCAAAGGCATACAATCTCAAGGCTTTAATTATAGCAGTACAATATGCTGCAACATAATACATGAAAAAAGTGGCCTCAGTTGTCTAATAATTACAGAACTTTCCTTGACAACCATGTCTATCATTTTTTTTGATAAAACAGGTTTTGTCAACTTTTCTGATACAACTCACTAACATGATAAAATTTCTGACTTTAAATGTGCTGTCATTAACAATGGCATACAAGTGTGTTGAGCATCTCCATTATCCATCTGGATATGTTTACCCCCACCACTGTAAAATGACCTTTCCCTCCCACCCTAGACAGTAATTATTTTCATAAGTAACTATACAGAGGCAAAAACCTATACAGAAACCAATACAGAAAACAATTAACTAAACAACTGATTATACAACTGTTGAGCCCTTAAGAGTTCCCAGTAGAGTCATGTGATTTCAGGGAAGTCCATTTTATAAAATGTATGCACTGAGCAGACTGACTGAAGTGTTGTCCATGAAAGGGTGTGGTCATCACCCAGGTGTTTCTGAGTCTTTCGGGCCTTCTGCACTCTGACTCTGCCCAGAGCTTCCACTTTTACGGTGCTTCCTGGCATGCTTGTACTTATCCACATAGGCTTTCACCAAGTTGGCTACTTTGACTGGGTTAATTTCACCACTCTTACTGTGGCACACCTAGTATGCAAATGGAAAAGCATGAAACCAAACATGAGGGAAAAAAGAGAGTGGCACAATGAGATTTACAGTCAGCAGACGCAAGAGAAAACGAAAAAGAGGGTAGGGTTTCATGTTACACTAAATAAATGAGGGCATATTGTCTTTACAAAACAAAACTGAAACACTCAGAACATTTAGACTCACCTTCTGAACAGCCTTTCGCAAGATCTCTTTATACTCCTCCTTTGTTATGTCCCTTTTCTGATAAAAAGGCTTGATGGCCAGTTTCACCTCTTCTATGGCCCGCTCCTGCATATGAAGCTTCTTCATGTACTGCAAGTGGCAAAAGTGATCATTCAAGAAGTTACAGATTTTATCAGCATTCTAGACTTTAACAGTACATAATTTGTGGTAAATGCAGCTAATTTTCACCTATTCCCTGACCATCCTTACCCTACTTTTTTATTATTATTATTTTCCCCAATTTACTCCCCAACTTAATCATATCCAATTCCACCCACTAGTTCAGTCTCTCCAAATCACCTGGTACCACCAGCGCTAGGGCGAAGGCTAGCACAGGCTTCCTCCGAGTCTTGTAAAGCACCGCCGGCTAGCATCGCGCTGAGCGATGGGTGGGGGGGGAAGGGAGGCCATCCTACCCACTCAGAGAGAGTGAAGCCAGTTGTGCTCCCATGGATTCCCGGCCACTGATGGCTGTAGTATGGATGGCTGTATATGAACCTATTTCTATCCATCACTAAACTCTTAAATTTGACAGTAACCCAACACTCCAACTAAAACCCTAACAGAGACAACAAATTCACTTCTTATAAACTTCACTTTAAATGTTAGTTTGAATTTGTTGAACCCAAAAAAGGGGGTTACAGAAATTGAATGAAACAATGGCAAAAAAAAGCAAAAAATAACTGCACCTGACTTCACCTTCATGATGAACAAGACTCCTGTTTCTTAACTCTGACCATAACCTTGTGAAAAGATGCTGCAAACATATTTAGGTCATCTACTTGCAGTCTGCATACACACCTTGTCTTTCTGTTGGGGGTCCTGTAAGAGCTCTTCCTTATGAGATTTTGATCCTCCTTGGCCAGAGTTTGACTGTCCCTCCTGTGCAGGAGGGTTGAGGCTTGTTACTGCTGGTTTGGCTCCCACCTGGACTGTGGCTGACTCCTTGAAAGTGTAACACAACAAAGGTTAGAATCAACATCAGTTGTGTTTGTTCGTCTCAACTGTTCAAAAGAGTGTGAATTCTTGTAAAGGCAGTACAGTAAAACAGCTCCAGCTGCTTATCATTTTAACAAAACTGCAGTCTATTATCAGCATAGCTGTTGCATCAGTTAAACAAGTTGTTTTTTTGTCACCTTTTTCTCTATTGCTGCCTTTACCCTCAGTGTGTATCCCATTCAGAAACTACTAATACAACACAATAGCATGTCCACGATAAGCTAGGCATGCACAAATAATCTCAGGTCATGATCTTTATTAATGCATTTCATTAAACAGTATGACAGCTGCATAAAGTGTCCTACACTTAATAACAACTAACACGATGTTATCACATAATACTGATTACAATTTGACACACTCAAGTTTAATCTAAATTTACATACATAAGGACACATTTTTTGTGTGTTGTCTTGTATGTTGTCTTGACACAGTTTGCATAAGCTCTAAATAAAAACAAGGTCTAAATAAAAATCATTTCCTAAAAGGTAGTCATTTCTCCTGAATGGCTACAATTTCCCAGTACTAGGTTCACTTTCATTTCCTTTGAAAGCCTTGCTCGACTGCTTCCAGTTTCAGTCACATGGCCCTTACTGGTCTTGGCAGAGCTGCACTAAAACATTCTAAAAAAACAGGACATGATGCCACCCTGTGGTTGTCATATGCATATGCACACACTGTCTCCAGTCTTGAGCAGTTGTTAGCTTTCATTTGTGATGTTGAAATAACAGGAACGCAGGTGAACAGTTCTGTACCTGACTAGAGCTGTGTGTGAAAGAGGTGGAGGCAGCTTTGCGAGACCCTTCCTGCTTCAGTTTCAGTTTGAAGAGAGCAAGCTCTGAAAGTAAAATAAGAGAAAAGATCAACACCATTATTCAAACATGAGCCTATGTACTCACGCATCCAAGATACACTTAGGGTATTTAGCAGTAGCTTAGTTAGTAAAGCTAAATATGCACATTTGTGAAAAAGGTCTGCTCAATGCTACATTAGCTTGCAATTTTCTGCAAAATCAAATACACATTCAAGCATTTTTCTGTCACACAAATGATGTAAGTTTTAAAGCAAAACATACTTTCTACCAGAAAATATTAATAATTTCTTTCTGCATTAGGTTCACAACCAGATTTAGTTCAAGTATGCGTCTTGCTTGAAATAAGCACAACCAAGGTGTAAATGATTACCAATTTGCTTTGAACTTCATCATGAAACCCCTAATGTTTCAACAAAACGTGTTAATAAGATTATACATTCCACAACTTGCAATATTCATGCATTTTGCAGGATACTGTACGGAATCAGGGCATGGTACAAAGTCCTACAGCATGTTCATTTAAGGCTTATTTTCTTATCACAAAGTAGACTGCCCTCCATCTGAACACTGCCCACAAAGCTAAAGCCTTTTCCTACATTTTTCCCAGTTGAGTTCTGGTACTGCACTGCATATTAGCAATGCACAGAAATTTCAGCCACTGGAAAGAAAGCCAAAATTTTTGAATGCAATATACATGTGAGTGATGTACAGAAATTTTAGCCACTGAAAACAGTCAAAATATGTGAACACAAGTCTACAATGAAGTGTCAAAATCTAATACTTGACAAACTATTTTAATGCTAATGAAAAAGAGAAAAGTTATTAAAACCACTGCACATACTGTAGCATACATACTGTACTATTTAGAGTATGTATGTTTACCATACATGAAGTCATCTTTTTGAGTTTTCAGCCCAGTGTGTCCTTAATTTTGGTTTCGGTTTTGGCAAAGAATTTTCATTTTGGTGCATCACTACTAAATGTCTAAAAAAGCCATGAAAACATTTAATGCAATGGTTGGGAATTCCTGTTCTGGAAAACCACAGCAGATTAACATTTTGTATTTTTTATTTGTTCTAACACATTCAAATTTAACTCATTATCTAGTCACCAGGTGTATTACAGCATGGAAAAAAACCAAAAGGTGCGGTCACATGGCCACACAGGATTGCTTTTACATTCAAGACAAAGGAATGATGATTCACTTACTGCTAATTTTTTCTGGTTGAGGGCCCTCTGGCTCTTGTATATTCCAGGTAACTCGTTTTCCCTGTGATTTGGCCTTGGTGCTGGCCACGACTAATGGTGATTCCATCTCCTGCTTAGATTCTGTTGAGACCTCTTGTGTAACAGGTTGGGGCTCCACAGCACCTGCTGGATCAGTGACTGAACCCTCCTTCATCTCTTTCTTAATGAAGTCCAAGTTGTCAATTAAGTAGTCCACATTGATATCTTCATCTGAGGAGTCCACAGGTTCTTGCTTTACTAGGCAAGGTGCTTGGAGAGGTTCTACCTCCATCTCTTCCTTTGCCACCAAAGGCAAGCTAGACGACTCACCATCAGGCTCCTTTTTACAATCCATGGGAGCAGGGTCAGGTGGGCACAAATTGATGACGAGAGCAGTATCTCTGTAAGGGTCATCACCATCATCATCATCGTCATCAGGCCAAATTTGCTCTGTTTTGACCTGTTTCGATGGTTCAAAAGTGTCATTAGTACTTTTCTCATCCTGAGGTAATGAGTAACCGGTCTGATTTCTAGGCGTGGATGTATTTGACAAACCGATTTCACTGAATTCTTGGGATTTCTCAGTGATACTTGTGGTTGTGATGTCTTCTTTCTTAATTTCCTCAGGCGTCTTTAATTCTTCACACAATTCATAGCTTTCTTCCTTCTCTTCTTTTATATCTATCTGTAGCTGGGGCTCACTCACCTCATCAAGTGGCCAGATGGTTTCTTGTTTAATTTCTTTGGGTTTGACTTCATGTGGTTTGTTTGACACACTAACTAAAGGAGTCTCTTTTGTGATTTCTTCAGGGTTCTCAGACTCTTCAATTAATGTTGAATAGCCAGGACTACTGGGTTCACTCTGCCTTTTAACTGACACAACTGAAATTCTGGTCTCATATTCATTTCCTCCAGAATCTGTCTTGTCCCTCAATGCCAGTGCATTTTTGTTCGAACTGTGATTTGGCACTGTTGCCTCAGCAGAAGTTGATACTGCAGATTTGTTAGTGCTCCTTTCTTTCTGGTGAGAGCTCTCCGGGACATCTGCTCTCCTTTTTCGGTCTCGGGAGGTTGATCTAGATCTCTTCCTTTTTGGCCTCGCCTCGCCTCCATCTCTTGATGCTGAGGAAGACCTGTGTGAGGATGTCTGCTCTCTCCTCCTCTCTCTGGACCTTGATCTAGATCTGGAGCGAGAGCGAGAGTGCTTTTTCTCTTTGGATCTCTTGTGTCCATCTTTCAATCTGCCATCATATCGCTCACGGCTATCCCGCTTTGCTTTCCTCTTCCTTGAGCTCTCATTACTACTGGAGCGAGTTGAGCGCCTCCTGTCTTGTAAACGTGAGCGCCTTCGCTCTCTAGATCTTGAGCGAGATCGCCTTTTTTCTTTCGATCTTGAGCGAGATCGTCTTTTTTCTTTCGATCTCGAGCGAGACCGCCTTTTTTCTTTCGATCTCGAGCGAGACCGCCTTTTTTCTTTAGATCGTGAGCGAGATCGCCTTTTTTCTTTAGATCGTGAACGAGTTCGCCTTTTTTCTTTTGATCTCGAGCGAGACCGCCTTTTTTCTTTCGATCTCGAGCGAGACTGCCTGCAGCCTGGAGATCTAGAGGGTGAGTGCCTTCTTTCTTCTGACCTTGAGTGTTTCTTCTTTTTATTACAGCATTCAAAGTCTTTGGAGGGAGGGCTTTGGGAAGCAGACTCTGACTGCCTGCCTAATTCCTCAGGCTGGGGGCATGGTGACATTTCCTGCTCCTTGCTCTTGTTGCTTACATCAGAGCTGCTTGCTAATGATGGCACTTCATCACACAAGCCATTCCCTTTGGGGACTTCAGGCTCAGACTTGCACTTGGGCTGCACTGGAGATGGCTCATCTTCTGGTTCAGCCTTCACCTCTATCTTCACTTTGTTGTCACTGTGATGACTGGAGGTTGAGCTCGATCTGGAGCGACCCAATGCTTTGGTAAATGGGCTTTCAGGCGTTCCACTACTCTCAGCATCAGACATGGCAGGGCTTTCACTGTAAGCCATAACAGCAGCAAGACTCCCAGACTGCATTTGCACATGTCCGCTGGCTAACTGATCCGACGACAGTGGCCATGGGTCATCCTTGAAAGGAGATGGCTCCTTTTTAACTTGCACACACATTTCAGAATGTCCTTCTTCCACAGGTGAATCCATGTCCATGGGCTCTGTTTTAACCTGATGTACGGAACCTTCAGTTTGTTCCACAGCCGGTTGCATGGACACACCGCTTTGGGGTTCCATCTCAGGACAATCATTCTCAGCTTCGCTTTCTGACGAATCAGACCCTGTGGGATCAAAGGGATCATAAATCTCACTCTTCACAGAGGCCTTTTTAGCCTGGGAATGGGACGTTAGCAGCTTTTGCTTGTCTTTCTGCGTCTTCTTTGCAGACTCATCTTTCACAGGCAGAGCCGGTTCGGGTGCAGAAAGCCGCCGAGCATGCCATGGGTTCCCACTCGTGCTAATGCGGAAGCTAATAGCAGAAGACGACGATGGCCGCGGATTTGACGTTACACTGCCCGAGGACGAGGGAGCAGAGAAAGAGTTAGAAAAAGAGGAAGAAGGTCCAGTACTGTGTAGCCTGTGTCTCTGGCTGTCTACTGCCCTACTCTGCTGACTTGCACTTGTCCGCTGCTGGTCAACAGTATGCTCCCTCCCTTTGTCACCTGCTAAACTGGTCACGGAAGATGCTGGCAAGTTGTTGCTATTGCTCCCACTGCTGCCATGCACTGCAGAACCGCCTTCCCTTTTAATCTTTGGTATCCTTGGCAATCCAGACACATCCAGCCATACTGGCTTGGGTGGAGGCTTTTTTGCAGAGGACTGCTGAGAAGCATCTCCCCTTACTCCACAGCGAGAGTCAGAGGCACCACTTGGAACCCTTGTTGGGGGCTGGCCTCTGAACCCACAGGTGCCCCATTGACTGTGTTCAGATCCAGCAGGGTGTGACGGCACTGGTCTGTGGGGCAGTGGCGTATGCAATCGTGAGTGCCCAAGGACGGATGAGGGTGTAAGTGAAGTGGGTGAGGAGGGAGATACAGGCGTCATAGGGGCAGGACAGGTAAGTGGGGAATTGTGTGATGAACGTCTCTGTAAGGGGCGGGCAGAGGGTGAGGTGGAGGAGGAGGATGCAGGCTGCCTGTTGGACTGAAAGGGACTTGCTTCTGTGGAGGGTGTGCTCTGTGTTTCTTCTGAAGTTGAGCTGCCTGAGATGCTGGTCCTTGGCAAAGACAAACTCACTGAAACAAGAAAATAAAAGCAAATATTCTGACATAACAACTGCACAGAAGGCATGTGGACCACACCATTTTTATTCACTAACAAAAATAGCTTGTTTTATTCAGTATGCGAATCTTGATGCTTTTTGTACATTTGTAGCCCAACCTTATATTTCTAGGCCACAACACTGACCCTAGGTTTAATAAATAGTGAACAACCAACAAAAACACTACAAGGTATGCATGAGGAATTAAAAAGCAAGCATACAATCACTACAGGTGGCTTACCAGGTTTGGTGGCTTTGAGGGAGCCATCTCTGTTGATGATCACATCAGAACTGTCCATAAGTAGCATGCTCTGACCGCTGAGGATGCTGCCCAGCAGGTCTGGTACCGGCGCAGCCTCAGCCACCTCCTGCACCTGAGGGATACCTTGCCCTCGCCTGCTAAGCAGCCAAACACATCAACCAGAAATGCACATCAAAGACACACATTAATCAGACATACAGACATCTACACAACAGATCTCACATCGATGTAATCTGGCAAATCTTTTGATGAACATTTGTCCATGCAGAATGTGCTCTCCAGCTTACATGTCCTGTTATTTTCTAATATCAGTCCACAGACTGTGATTTACTATTTCTATGCATTGTTATGCTATTAAGTTTCATCAGAATTTAAACCTATACAGCTAATTTAAAAAGTGAGAAGCATTTTCTCCTTGCTCACATTAAAGCATGCAGCACTGATTTTGCTGGCTTAAATGAAATCTGGGTCACCTGGGTAAACCTGCAGATATGGGTCGGGCCACCGGCTGGTGGGAGCGCAAGGCAGAGCATGACAAACCCCGCCGCTTAGCCTCTAGCAAAGAGGACGGAGTTGGTGCCTGCTGTGTCTCCTCATTCCTGAAAAATAAGAGTTCCATTCTTTAGATTTATAATTATGCTGCTAACTTTTCTGACAGATACAAAGCAGTCTGTGGGTGTACACAGAGGAGGGTAATATGACAAAAATTAGCCTTAATGTGAGAAATTTTGCCATACTATGTTAATATATCCATTTTTAGAGCATAACATCATCATCAGTATTTGAAGAACACTACATGCATTAAGAGAGCAAAGAGAGCATAATTAGGCCTGTTTAACCAGACATAGTGCAGTGTAGTGTGTAAAATCTAAAAATAAACAAAAAGTTTCAAAGTTTTCAACAGATTCTTTCCAATTTAATAAACTAAATTGGGAAGCATATTTCGTATGGAAAAAATGACTTGAAATATTGTGATATATTTTTGCCATATTGTCCCCTCCTAATACAAACTGCACATATTTAAACATGAAATAGATTAGATATTATCACAGCAGCAAAACTCCAAAAATGAGTAAAACAGTATAGATGTAACAAGTAAAACACAACAAAACAGAACCAAAATTGACTCACACAGCCATTAAAGCTAGTTATGTCATAAACTTACTCATCATCAAAGGGGTCAAGATCAAAAGGGTCTCCATAAATAGAGAGGGAGGCTGCCCCAATGTCTGCTCTCATGCTGCCAAGTGTTTGCTCAGATGGACGGTACACAGAGGGAATGGAAGAGCTGCGAATGGGCTTCTTAATGCCCAGACTGCGTGCGATACGACCTCGAGTAGTGGTCTTCATCTTCTGCACCTGAGAGAATACAACAGTTTATGTTTACCCATTTAAGCATCTGTGTCACAGTGGCTCCCAGAGCATGATAACTAAATGCTAACTTTGGTTCGCTTTACAGTGTTCTTAAACACACATGTCTATTAATTCAATGTGTTTTAAATTTCCTTAGCATCAGCAAACGTTTCATCATTGTAAGTTTATATCCAGGACACATCATGGGCAAATTTCAAAAACTAAAGAAGCACTTGAGGTTTACGTGTAACAGGCCATGACATACCAATTTTTTTCTTGACTTTGTCCTCCTCACTCTACGCTTCCGTCTCTTCACACCCGTGCTTGCTGTTTTGCCCCCAGTGGCTTTCCCTTCTTTTTTAGTTTTCCTTCTTTTAACTGCATACAAATTACATTGCAGATATCCAGGGTGAGATAATAGTAAAACTCAGTATATTGTGTTATTCTATCTCACCAAGGCACTAAGCTATTAATAAATAAAATGTTATCAATGACAGCATTCATTGCACAAACAGAGCCACGCAACACTTCTGTTTCTCAGTAGCTAGCTACCTCTCCTTCGTCTCCTGCGGGACCGTGGGCGGGGAGTCAAGTCCCGCACATATACAGCTGTGTTGAGTCCAGCCACCACAGCGTTAATGGTCTCGTCCAGCCAGGTGGACTGCATCATGTACCGGGGAGCAAACTGGCATGAATAACAGGAATAACAGTACAGCAATCACTAACCATGTATTACAAATAGTGCTGGGAGATATGACTTCAAATCAATATCACGATTAATTGAATATTTTACCTCGATTACAATTAATGAACAATTATTTTGTTTTTGTCTGTTTGTTTTTTTGCCCTCATAGTTCACTGACTAGGTTTGTACTGTAAATATGCTCTGCATGTCTTGATGTAAATTGTCTCAACAGCCAGATAGGAATTCACACAGGTTTTACATCAATCCTACTAGATATTCGTCATAATTTCGCACTGCTGAGACCTACTAAACATTTGGGGCGATATTTCTGTAGAATTAGATGAGAAGAGACGTATCCAAAACACCTCCGTGTTCGAAGAGATTTAAAAAGAAATGGCTGAACACGGCTGTAGGGGAACGAGGCTGCTGCGTCAAAGAACAGTTAAAAGTCTGAAAGCAAAGTTTAAAGAATCCGAGGATGCGAACCAAAGAAGTAACCAAACCCTTTGTACAGCAAGCTCGAACACATTCTAGGTGATGAGCCCAGCTGTCAGTCAGTGAAGCTTCATGATCGCTCCTGCGATGCTGGCGAACATAAAACTGAAAGCTCCGGGAGCGACTGGCGTTCGTTCATAGTCATGATTGTTTACTTCTGGATGAGCCACGTGAAGCAACATGATGCACTGTTCTTTTGCACACGCGGGTCGGTTTAGGAGCTGATCTGTTCTGACTCATGTCGCATACAGGTCACGTTTCTAAGATATTGTGAACAGCCAAACAAAAAAATCGGATTTGGTGAGAAAATCAGATTTTGGCCACTTTTATCTGCTGTGTGAACATAGCCTTAGCTTCCATGTCGCAGAGTGGAGTCACATGACTACACGTGCAGTAGTAAGTTTTTAAGCGGACAGTACATGAACACACAGAGTGGGGAAAGGATTAACAGAATTTAAAAAAAAAAAATCTAAATAACCTACATGGGCGAGATTGCGTTGATTAGAGGTTCTGAATGTCTGTTTCGATTACTTTTCGATTAATTGCCCAGCCCTAATTACAAACATGCAGAAACAACACAGGTTGACACATATGCAATGTTTTCAAACAAAGCTGGAATAGTTGCATTCAAAAGTCCTTAAGTTGCATTAAAAAATCCATTCTCACATGCAAACTGTTATAGAGGTCTTATGTAAAGATTGAAAGGGTTTCTCTCATAATGATTAAACCCTAAAGTTTTCTTTAGCTTAAAACCACAGCAACATACCACAAGTCCAAAAAGAACTATCTGGTTGAACACAAAAACCCTCATATTAATAACAAACCAGGGGGAATTTTCCTGAAAGCATCACAGCACAAAAAGTATTACATGTTAGAGTTCTTAAATTAATATTTTAACAGCTAAAAGGAAATAAACATTATGATGCTTTGAAGAAAAAGACAGAATCATTTAGCAACTGCTAAAACTACATTGCCAGTCTGTTAAAAAAGCCAGGCAAAAACATCATGCAAACCTGTGCAGCAGTGCGTGCCTGTGTGATACGGTGTCTGTTGATGTTGGCGCGGACCCTCTCGCTGTGCTGAGTGCGCGCAATGGCTCTGGTGGGCCTTGAGGTAGGCAGCCGAGAGCGGCTGGTGGTGGGAAGAATGCTGCTTTCAACCTCACTTGATCGCTCTCTTCCTAAAACACAAAAAAGCTCTTTCTGTGAATGCATAGCAAACAAATGGAATTTGAAACTTACTTTAAATTAGGATGGCACTTCTTAAACAACTTCTTTGGTTAAACTAAAATAACTAGAAAAATATGAAAGTACATAATTTGTTTAGACGTCTGTGAAATTTATACAATGAAAAACATTCCCAAAATGCCTTTGTTCCCAGTAAACTGTCCATTTAAATGGTGCAGCCCATTTTAAAAAAGACAAAATAAAAAAAGAAAATAACTATTTTAATTTTTTCTAACTTCTGTGTAAGCTGACAGAATTTCAAAGACATTGTTTTCTTGTAAAAGGTTTGCATCTTTAGGTGAACCAAAAAAGAACTGTATTGATCACTAAGCTTAACTGCAAAATCAAAACGGGAAAGACTGCAAAGATAATTGTAATTTAAACTGCAGATGCAAAATCGGTCAGATAGATATTTCCCTTCAGCCATAGTTATCATTATGAATAGTGAATTATGATGGGAATAGCTATTGGTGTTGGTAGTATCTGGGTCATTACTTGTGTTGCGGTTGTTTGGTGCACATTCTGGGCAAAACCACTCCTCAACAGGCACAGCATCCAAAGGGGGTGTCAAACACTCCATGTGGTACCTTCAACAGAAGAGAGAAAGGGGTCAAAGTCTGTGACACTCACCTCACCGCATTAAAGAAGATTTTCTATATGAAATTTCCACTGTACAGGGTGTGTGATGTTTTTTGGGCTATAAATGGTCTATTCTGAGTTTAGTGCCTCACTATCACCATATATAGCTCTTCTCTAACACTATCTGAGTATGTTAGTCAAGGTTGGCACAAATTCCTCACCCAGCATCACAGCCATCACACAGCAGCAGGCGGTCTTCTCTGTCCGATCCACCACACACCTCACAGCTGGTCTGCTCCAAATCCAGATCCACCTGCTCCTCTTGACCAGCCTTCACTGTCTTCTGAACCGTTATCTACACAGACACAAGCAAACATAAAAGACAACATCTCAGCCCATTCAAAAACATCACTAGTCACTAAAATGCCACTGTATCCAATACTGATTCTCTTTAATATCTACAGTGGTCCTTTGAATATAATCACTTTATGTTACAGGTTAGCAGCAAAGATTAAGAGGACATAAACCCAAGAAACAGTTACATACCGTTTTCTGGACTTTGCCTCCAAAGCATTTTCGAAGTAGGATATTACTGAAGACTATCCGGTCCACAGGACAGGAGTTAGCATTCTAAGGACAAAAGAAAAAGTGTCACACAAAAAAGCATATCTAGATGTTTAATGCTTCTCCTGCTGTTGCACGTGGGCATGTACACTGCTTCTAACAAGAATCTTTCAGTGTTTTTCATGACAATATTGTTGATACAAACAAAAAGTATGAAGAAACAGATCAGGGGATAAAAACTGGGGGCCTCAGACAACAGAAGCCTAAGACTGGTACAATGAATTTGTGGAACATTCAGATTGTTCTTGATGAAATCGCAGTGCACTTTGATGCCCTGACGCTGTGTCGCTTGTTGATAAATCACAGGTCGCTTAAAAGGGAATATCTACCTTTTTTTCAAAATTTCTGCATAATTAAATTGTTAACGCTTAAACAACGTCATTCAGGGTGATGGGACATGAAATGTGACATAAAAGTACTTCTTAATTGAATCTGCTGGCTTGAATGTCAACTTTGCACTTAGGCTGGTTCTACACCTGGATCCTATAGTGCCTGTTCCCAGTTGTGCCACACTTACCTTGGCCCATTCCAGAATGCAGTCCAGACAGAAGTAGTGTGTACAGCTCTCAGGCGTAGCCACTGGTTGCTCATGGAAGGAGTTGAGGCAGATGGGGCATTTCTCTGCATCCTCATCTGAGCTCAGCCCAGCCAGGTCAGTGGATGTGCTCCCTACAGCCCCCTCCAGGTCCTTCTGGGCATCCTCATCTACCAAACATACACAGAATAAGGTGACTACATGAGGTGTCAATCACACCTACTCTAGTTTGATGACCAATGAATTCATTGTTTGGGAATATGTACATGTATATGAGTGTTAATGCTAATGTCATTTGCACTATTTCAGTATCCAAGTAAAAGAACTCAGAAAAGATCTTGGAAAACTCAATATTATTTTTAGAGGTACTGAAGCAATGTGGCTTGTCCGTTCTTACGTTCACTATCCTCCCCGTCCTCTTCCTCACCATCTTCATCTTCTCGATCTACGGAGGCATCATCGTCATCTTCTTCATCATCCTCCTCACTGTCTGTTGCACCTTCTTGTGAGTCATCTCCACCATCTGAATTTTCCTCTAAGTGTTGTAAAAATTAGTTCAGGGAGTTAACAAATATCCCAAAACGATCAACAGAAAATTCCATATCAGCACACAGCACACGCACTAACCTTCATCGGAGAGAACAGATGAGGCAGGCCTCTTGCCTTTTCCGTGAGAAGCGTTCTTATTGATCAGCTCATCCTGGCTGTCCTCCTCATCCATGGTTCAGCATTAGAAACTCCACAGTACTAACGCAGCTTATATGACCTCTTTGTGCTTCAGTTCTGGACAACTACACAACAGGAAGAAGACACAATAACGATGGATTATGAGCGGATGAGCAAGTGATGAGCGTTGGGTGATACATCGCCTACACCAGTGTACTGTGATGCTGATACACTGTGACACTGACTTTCAGCTTTGATGGCACTGACAGACGAAAAGCAAACCCACAACAACATTCTGTTCCACACAATAACTGTGTCCTTGCTGTCAAACCGCTTTAGCTCTAAATTCTATTTCGTGCAACCATCTAAGCATTGGCCCAATCGTCAGGAGATCACAAATTTGATCCCTGGCGAAGCCACAGCCATTCATGGTTGGGAGTCAAGACAGCACATTAAGCCCTTTCCACAACACGATGCTACTCAGTGTAAATGTCTGTTAGCTGATGTAACAGAATTGCCAAAAAATATTCTCTTCTAAAAACAAAGACCTGTCCAATGATGTTGCATTAGCAGCAGTTCAAAAAGATGCGATGGCTGGTTTCATGTGTCTCAGAAGGTGCTAGAACTCACCCTCTCAGCTTGGTAGCATCATGATTGGTGGGTGACCTAGCTAGTGGGTGGGAATTAACCATGACAAAACTGTAGAGAAAAACTGCCAGGACAGGCAGGTAAACATTAAATTTGGAAATATGGTTTCTGTTCTATATTCTATACTGTTACAGTACTGTGTAAGTCCCCATGGTCAGGACTGTAAGCCAATGTTTAGCTCAGAGTTCTAAGGTGTTGGCTCATTAATTTTATTAATGCGAAATTATATATTTGAGATGCCACTTTTTCTTCTCGGACATGGATAGCGATACTTAAGTATTGAGTATTGGCTGATACAAATATCGAAAAAACAACTTTAAAATTCTTTAAACTAAAAGCTGTCCAATTCTGAAAAAAGAAAAAAAAGATTTAAAATGAACTATTTTGAATTTAAGTACTTCCCTTAAGATGAACATCCAAAAGTAGACTACAATGCTTAAACTACTCAAACACTCTACTGTCCCCCCAGGGGAGAAATACACATCACAGCACATAGTATGATTGTGTGCTATTTCAGAACAGATTTGTTACAGGATTGAATAGGATTTATTTCTTTTTTAACTGGCCCAGCATGCTGATACTGGATTGATGCCATTATGAGCTGAAAGCATGATATATTTGGAAAATATTGTGATGTTGAATTTTATCAGAACTGCCCAGCACTACTCGTGTTCACACTGTCATCTCGACACAAAGACAACTAATTACTACCAGTAAGTTTACCAGCCAAAACATACATGATGGTGATGATGAATCAGGGATGAAGTCTCATCTCTGCTAATACACCTGCTACCACATTTACTCATACATTTCTGGAGAACTCCGAATAATTAAATGGTTAACATGTCACCAAGTCATTCAGAGTGGTATGGTGTAAAATGCTTTGTTCTAGAGAAACTTAGAGTCAGAATTGTCCAGTGGTGTTGATGGGAACCAGATGTCTGAGGAGTGCAACGTCTTTAAAAGCTCTCTTTAAGAAAGCTGTTACATGAAATGGTTATGAACATGCGGTCTGAGACATTGTTTCACAGTGCTTATGTAATAAACGTTTTGGGCTAAAACGTATTTTAATCAATTCATGGTGAAAGAAGGGTGTTGTAAGGCTAAATATCCACAAGGACACCCTTTTTTCAGACTGACCACTATTTTACCATCATAAACATTACATATAAAAACACAGAAAACACGTGGAGGTTCACAGGTGGTACTGGATAGTAAATAAAACGGCTATATTTGAGTGGTAGACACTGCGACCCCTAGTTCTTATTACCACCACTGTAAAGAAAATCAGACTTTCTCTTTAATCATTTCACAACAAACCACTCTGAATGACTTTGTTTATATCCCAACCACTGAAGTATGCAGAAATTAGAAAATCGGTGGAATTCCCTTTTAACGCGCAACTGCGCGACGGTTTTTAGCCCTTTACTGTTATTTATTACTGTTACTTCTATGTGCATCCCACGCCTAAAACCGCAAACATATCCAACAAATACTTCGTTTAACAGTCTCTATACTGCTGTTGCCTTATGCTAGTCAGTTCTAAAGATAGCTTCGGGCTGCTTTGTGCAGTTAGCCAAGTAACACCGATAAAGTCAAAAAAAACAATATCTTTGGGCGTCGACAGGCTACTGTTTAGCATTAACAGCATCTCCCCTGGAGAGTTTCTCTGAAAACAGCTATCGTGTGTCCTGTTAGCTAGCCATGGAGATGAAAAAGCAGCTGGAGAGGGACGAGCAAAGCAAAGCAGAGCTAGCTAGCTAGCTAGCTAACGAAGCTACAAACAAAAGCATGACCCAGCGTGTATTAGCAGCCTCCAGCTAACACTGCGACTAAATAACCGCTTCATGCAGGACCACAACAACTGAACAGTGCTTTTCGGACAGTCGTGTAACATCAGTCCGTGCTCATATTTACCTGTCAAACATGGGAGAGGTGCTGAACAGCTAGCACGGCTAAGCTAGGCTGCCCTCCCTCCACTCACTCGGGCTAATTTTAACTCTATCTAACGTTAGCTCAGCTCAGCTCTGCTATAATTAATGAGCAGGCCGCTGTCTGTCAGCCAGCCGCTGTGTGAGGGCGCTGCTTCAAGCCTTTTACTGTCGGATACACTCAACGCAGGTGGGGAGTGAGTGAGTGGGAGTCAGCTAGGTGCACCTACCCTGGACGGCTGTGTACGACTTTATTTGTATTTTGAAGTCCACACCGTTTGGGGGGCTTTGAGTGACAGACGCTACCGGCTGCAGAAAGCAACGGAAATGGCGGAAGGCGCTCAACTCACAGTCTCACTCTTAAAGGCACAGCGGTGCTCGGACTCAGCGTGGCCGAAAGTGTGTGGACACCCGAACATCACATACAGCCCTGCTGAGAAAGACATCACAGGACCCACTAACCCTCGTATTATCTTTGGGGGGCAGTCTGACCCCATTCAGTGTTCAAAGGTGGATTATGTGATTTATTTTAGAAACATTTGTTGCTGTATTTCTTAAAATGATATTCACATCCCGATAGCGATCAATAACGTTAATCAATTGTGCAGAGTCATCAGGAAGTTGGGAGCTAGCGTTAGTTTCACAAGAATGACAGAGTAAGTTACACAGGTATCTACAACCGGTTGAAGTGCTAAAGAAAAAACGAGAAGAAAGACAGAAGTAGAAAAGGCTTTGAACAAAACGAGATTGGATGAAGTCAAACCAGAGTGAGCACTGGTGCGGCTTTCCAACGGTGGAGAAACCTGAGGGAGTTGAAATGTATGGAAAGCGATGCCAAGATTGCTGTTTAACTGTTGGGCAGGGTATCTGGTTTGTTTTGTTTATGGGGGGAATTTGTTATTTTTTGATTAGTCAGGTCTTGCACATCCATGTGTGGCTGCTCAGCAACCATGAAGACTTTGTAAGGATGGCTGAAAGTAGGTGGTATGACTTTTTCAGGTAGATTTTTTCAAAAACTGGCTTACACTTTCTGGCCTCTACAAAACCACCTACACCTCCTAAATAATTGTCTGACATCATTTGTTTCGTAAAGAAATAGTGTACCAGACACATAAACTTGGGTAACAGTTTTAATTATAATCATTTTAAGTTGTTGGGGTCAAATTGACCCCAAGAATGCCAGTAAATTTGAAGATAACAGAAGGGTTAAAAGTTTCTGTTGTTTCCTGGTTGTGTCCAATAGACACAACTGGTATTTTATGTCAAGGAGTCTAATGGTTTAACTGGTGTTCTGAGACTGATTCCAGATACATTTGATGATTTCCTAATGGGATCTAAAGGTGTGCTACAGGAAACTAGTGGTCTCTAATGGTGATCATTAAGCCAATTCCCTTTAGAAAGCAAAGCCATCATGTTTCAATCGTTCTAATGATCCCTTTTTAGCAGGGACGTTCTTGTTGAATGTGTGATTCCAAAACCATGGGCATTAACATCAGTCTCCTTACAATGAAGTCTCAGCAGCTGTGTTAGAAACGTCCTCAGAATTCATTTCCAGTCATACAAGCTCTCCTATCTACTTGAATGGAGAGAGATGTAAGGCAGGTGGAGAGGCCTAAACCCTCACGCAAGTAAAAATGTTGTTTACATAGGTAAAATTATGACAAAAATGCTTGATGAGAAGTACAGATTCTAGTTCGAATAAGAAAATCCCTGTAGAATTTTTATTATTATTTTTTGATGCACTCTTGGTCAAAAAATGTGAAACCTCCAGAGCAGAGTTGTCCAGCTTTATGGGCATAGGGCCGGTGTGGCTGAAGGTTTAATTCCAAAGAAACTGAAGCACACCTTCCACTTGTTTAATCAGTTGCTCTCAGCCTTCAAACATTTGATCAGGAGTGTCCCTGATTTGTTGTAAAGAAAACCAGCAGCCATACCAGTGTCCTGGTGAATTGTGCTACTTTGATAAAATGTTCTAACGTAGCGCATTTATAGATAGCTTTCTACAGAAAACTATTAGGTAGGATTTTGTCAGCCTAAATGAGCCTCTCAGAAAATGCTACTAGTATATTAAAACTATTGGTAGGATGTTTTGATAGCCTAAATGAACTTATTACATATATACTTATTACACACTTAAAGTAGGGCTGAATGGAAAAACACAATAAAACATAGAAACATAAAAAAGTTACTATACTTAGATTTTTTTCACCTCAATTATGACTTTATCAATGCAATTCATCAGTGTTTTTCCATAATGTAGCCACCATGTTGTACATTATGTGCTATCGCATTTATATTTCAACCAGGGAGCTGTTTTCTTCTCCTTGTTTAATGTCTCTGTTAATATTGAGATATATTTGTTGTTATAACAGCCTTCAGCTGGCTTCCCACTGGTTTTGGAACATGGTTGCAGGGTTGTGCTTCAATTCAGCCATCAGAGGATTAGTGAGGTCGGCATCAGCATCGGGCAATAATTCCACTTTAAAATTGATAAGAAGAAAGTCTTCCATAAAGAGGAGAAGGGAGGGATTTCTACAACCTTTTTAGTAATTTGGAGAGAAACAGTCAGAGTGCTGGAAGTTATAGAAGTGAATAACGTTTGTTAGCTAGTTAGATCAGCTAAGTAGACACAAGTTAAACAAGCTATATGTAATTTAGACCACTTATGTTAAATGTGGGGATAAAACGTAACGTGTTACGTTAAATACATGCCCCAAATTACAGCTGGACAGCCCTGTCAGTAAAGCACCTATCTTTTGATAGGTCTGTGGCTTGTTTACATTTTGACTTGTCACACACTTGGCGTTCCCGGTGCAGGCATCCATGCTACATTTGAATGCCAGCTTGCTGTTAGGACACGGTGTAATTTTGTGTTACAGCCGGTCGTAATCCCGATGCTCTCCATGTCTTTCCTAAACGTTAGATTATTTTTCTACTCTAATCACTGCTACCATTATACTGTCCTTTATTATCTCGCTTACGCTTTCAGGTTTTTAGCATTGAGCTAGTGTCCTTGTGAATGTACTTTCAATTCAAAGCTTCAGCTATTCAAAAGATGTGCTTGAGGGATCTGTAAGAGCAAGACCTAACACTTCAACAGAGTAGATGATGCCCATTTCGAAAGCCAAATAGAAAATTACAACAACCCGAGTTAAAAAAGTCGATTTGTCCTTGTTAGCAGTGATCTGCACCAACAGAGGTAAGATATAAATGGGAAAAAAACAAATATGGCAGTATAATTTACCTAGACTGCTTGACGGTTTGGGTTTTTAGGTTTGCTGCTTTCTCCTTCATGTACATTTCAGCTGTCCGATTTTATGTCATCTTCATTGGGGCGAATGTTTTACTTGTCAAGAATGGATGCATGCTTTATAGGAAAATGTTGCACTGGTCGTTGGGTTTATTTTAACCTGTGTTCTTATTGTTCAAGTAATCTTGCTACTGTTTTGTCTTGATTGAAAAAAAAATGCACTCATAGTGATGACGTGCCAACACTGTGGTTAGTATGCTGCCGTTGTGGTGCTGCATAGGCCTTGTTTGACTTGCTGTAATGTCATAAAAAAAATTACTGACCACCCAAAAGGTAGCCGGGTGGAGGCCCACCAAACATTTGTGCCCAGGGGCCCATAACTTGATGATCTGGGCCTGATCCTATGACAATGCCATGTTGAAAGTCAATGAGTTCTTTAGTATGACTCATTCAACTGTCATTGTTCTTAGATTGCATGACTGTCCCCTCACTGTTCCTGATGAGGCTGTACCTAAATTACCCATTATCACATTTTTGCAATGGGATTTTGTTAGGTTGTAAGCCACTTAGATATACTTTATTCACCTCTTGTTGAAGCAATGAAAGATTTCAATGTTGAAACCTCAATGTCACGGCCTGTAAGCAAAACCTAAGACATGATGGATAGAGCCGAGTCTCTTTTTTCTTGGTTCTAGACTAAAAAACGGCAACAAGTAAGTACAAGCCAAACATAATTTTCTCAGTGGCTGTATTACACTGTTAGGAATACATATGTGCCCAAAATAATAAACACAACTCCCATACTAACTAACCCATAAATAAACTTAAGTTAACTAAAAGAAAAGAAATAACCAACTACCCCTTTTTACCACCTAATGAGAAAACTGTGAAAAAAAAGAAATCTCCTACACAGCTACTTTGTCTGATAATCTTTGTGAATATATGCATAGAATAATACAAAGATAATTTAGTACAAACTTCTTACAATTCACTAGCTACAACAACAGTCATCACTACACATCACTAACAAGAAATGAGTACAAAGCTTTGACACACAAAGTCAGGTGGTTGGTGTGGGCCACGAAAACGGAAGGGTGCCAATGTGAAGGATCCAGATCCCCTAATGTCACATCCAGACCAATCAACAGGAACAATGCTGTCACTTAATTAGGTGGATACACCCTCTCACCATAGATACCAGCTGTAGAAAGGGAGCAAAAGAGGGAAAACCAGTGGTCACCAAGCTTGGTCCTTGGACCTTTCTGTAAAGCCTAGTTCCAACCAAACCTGCTCCTGTTAATTACCCTCTTAAGAAGCCCCTGATTGGCTGGATCAGATGAATTAGTATGAGGTAATTGGGGAGGCAGTATGTTAGATGCTGGTTGGAACTAATCTTAAAAGAAGATCTTCAGGAGGGGAGTTGGAGGCCACAGCTGTAGACGTAATAGGGAAATGAAATACTACTGATTTTTCTTTTCGATCCAACGGAGGAATGCAAAAGCTATTATCTCAATGTCAGTACACATACTGACACATAAAAATCTCCTTGTGCTCATGAAAACGAGAAATCTTTGTGATTTCTACACTGTGTACAACTGGTGAAAATGCAGACATAAATAAAATACTGCCTAGTCAAATAGGCTAAAATAAAATATATCTGGCTTTTCGTTGTCCAATTATACATTAAACATACATAGAAATTTGCTTGTTAAAGAGAATTCTTGGTATTGAACTTTGAAGACTGAAGTATTGATACTTTATTATCAATCCTCTTTATAGTCTGTAACATCCCAATTTTCCTAGTAGTAATTTAATTATTAGGCCTACATTGCTTAAATGAATTACAAAGCTGTTAGATTGCGTTCAGGGTTTTTTGGTTAAATACAATAAAAGTTGTCCTACATTTATGTTCTAATGGCACTTTCTGTGAATAGAGTTCATTTTAGGCTTCAAAACTCAAAACTCTTTGGCTTTCTTTACAAATATTAATCAATGTTATTGCTTAACCTTCAGAAAATGTTTTTCCCACTTTAGGCTGTCACTTGAGATACTATATTTTTTTTTTATATACAGTGCTTTGACAACCAAAACAATTTTAGGGAGATTTATAAGTGGGTTTTAAAAGCCAGTGTTAATTGAATTCACTGTTCTGTAACAAGAAATACGTATATTTATTAAATGTGTTTAAACTTTTCAAATAAATAGTAAACATCCAAAGTTTTCTTGTGTTTTATATATTTCACATTCATTTCATGTTAATGCAGTAAAAACATTTAAAGTATACAACATAGAGCAGGAGGGAATTTAAAAAAAATGAATCAAAATGTTTTCATTATTTTTCCATTTCATTACATTTTCCATTTAAAATAAATGTAATAAAAATAGGTGAAGGTAAAAAAAAAAACGGGTAACAGGGTTTGTGAACTTAATAAACTATAGCATTCAGGAGTGGTTAGCTTGTCAGGGTGCATATCGCTGTTGTCGGAAGAAAACCTCATATCTCCATTTTTGACGTTTTTCAGTTTTTGACATAATGTGATAGTACCTGTTGCCCTTTATATTGTGTGTAAATTTCATGATGAATGGGCTAAAAGAAATGGTCCAAAATGACTTGGAAAAAAGTCCATTGACTTACATTAAAAGTAAAGTATGTTTTTTTCCTTCTCCTGTAAAGTTACCATTTTGGAGATACGAGGTTTTCTTCCGACAACAGCGATATGTTGCATGCTAGCTATTAGTAATCATATATATTAGTATATTGGTAACAGTGTTGAATGATCAATCTTTACACATGCAGACAAATCAGTTTTTTTGTGAGTAAACTGAGAAAACAGAATGAGAATACTTTGATGGTCATTCTGCAGAAAACAACAGGATGATGTAAATGATTTTTATGAGGGGTGACAGGTTTGGGTAACAGTGTTGTACATAAAATCTGGGACAGGTTAAAATGACTTTTGTTAAATAAATTAATAGGGAAAAATAATTATTTTAACATTAAATGCTTGCTTGGAGCTTAACAAAATAACATTGATTTCTGGTGTTACTGGAAGCTTTTAATGAATATATTTCATAGATAAGTTCAATGTCAGTGAGATGGGACAGCCCATTATCACCATATTAAAGGTGGATACAATCATTTTATGTGCTTTTATGATCATTTAAATTCTAATTTTAATAAAGCACAGATCCCTTATCTATTTAAAAAATTAAAAAAACAACAGTCACTTTATTGCTTTTAATAAGGGGACATAAATGAACTCTATTCATGGAAAGTGCCTAATGTCTAGAGGACAAATGATTTTCATATCAAGCACCTCAAGATCTGTTAGGATTTATATCACTTGATAATGTTTCATACACTGTTAGAAATAAAGGTTCTGTGCAGGTACATTCTTCATTTATCAAGGTACAAACAATGTAAATGTTCCTCAAAGGTACAACAGTGGTTGTAAAGTCCAATTATGTATCTTAAGTAAGTTTTTCCATGTGAAAAGTACACATTTATACCTTTTCATAACCTAATGTTTTAAAACAGAACAATACAATAAAAAGCCTGGAGATAAGACGGGGTGTGTGGAGTCAGTACAACTTAGAAAATATAATTGCAATGGATCATGGTACAGTTAGGTTCCCTGACTAAAGGTACTGAGATGTACCCTTGAGGGTTCCACCCTAGTGACAAGAGGGGTACTGCCCCAGTGACAGTTTACTACCTTTTTTCTGAGAGTGTTTGATGTCTTTAGTCAGTACCAACAACTGTATTTCTACAGTGGCTTAATCTTAAGTGCATAGTGTTTTGGGTGTTTGGATTGTGGATTTATCATATCAGCAGCTATTAGTCCTTCAATATAGTATTGCAAGATCAAATGATTGAAAAGTGCCAGTAATTTGATTTAAATTGCCACTGCCAGTCAAGTTTAGCTTTGAAAAATAAATAAATAAATATATATATATATATATATATATATTAAATGTTATATTATTAAGAATGTATGCACTAATGTCTGTTTAGCAGTCTGGAGTTCTCCACAAGGGGGAGCAAGTGGCAGGCATGTCTCATTTGTGTGTGTCATTTAATGAGAAAAAAATAGCCCTGAACCCTCACAGACAGCTCATGAATGCATGTGTTTGCAGTCACTTTAAAAGGAGAGGTGAAATGGTTTACTACCAAAAAATGTTGAGTTGCTTATATTACTTAAAGCTGTATTATGTAAGATGTTCTTTCTTAAAACCGGAGGAAGTAGCATCACTGAGTCAGGAGAAAAATGTGCTAAAATGTGGTGTATGTGCTGTGAGTCACTCTGTAAAACCCGAAATAACAATTTAAAAGTCAGAGGCGTCTGACTGGATTTTGTGGGAGTTCTTTGTACCACGTCATACGTCTTTACATCACAGACACAGGCTTAAAAAGAAGATCTGGCTCGACGTTTAGGTGTCAAATGCAAAATCAACATTATACTGATAAAAATATGATAAGAATAGTAGATAATTTACTTACATCCTCGGATGACAAGTTCTCTTTGAATATTCTTTTCACAACCAACGTTAAAAATTGTACTTCAGCCTGTTGTGGGCAGTTACACATTTCCAGAAGAGAGATTTCCAAACCCCCAAATCTTACATAGTGTAGCTTTAATATGTGATTTGATTCAAGATTCTTTAATACCAGTTAATTCTTAAAAAGCATGTAAGCTAGAGATGGCATAGAAAGTAGATCTAAGCTGCAGCAGACAGTGTGTTTAACAAGAAATTACTGTACTAAGTTAATTCACTTTAAAATGTATTTTTTTTTCAGGCTAGTAAAACAGGCTAGAGTTGTTTTGTTTTTAATGTTGTATATTTGTAAATGTGTTAAAATTGAGCTCCTGACAAACAAAAAACAAACAAAAAACAAAACACACACACACACAAAAAATGCTAAAATGTTGCTTTTTGGAATTCATTGCGTTCCCCTCACAGAATCCCCTCATAATTATAATTTGGCCAGGCCTCACATCCAACATTTTGGAGTGTGTCTGTGGGAATTTGTGCCCATTCAGTCAAATAAGCCTGACTTCACATATCCTTGTTTGACTGAATGGGCACAAATTCCCACAGACACACTCCAAAATGTTGTGGAAAGTTTCCCAGAAGAGTGGAGGCTGTTATGGCTGCAAAGGGGGGGCAACTCCATGTGCAACAAGTTCATGAAGATGTGTGTGTGTATATACTATACACATTCTCTCTCTCTCTCTCTCTCTCTCTCTCTATATATATATATATATATATATATATATATATTTTATTCAAGGCTCTTGGAAAACCATTCCAGGTGACTACTTTTGACTGGTACTGTATGTATGTAGAGGGAAGGTGAGGCAGAGTGAGGAAGGGATAGGGATAGAGAGAGAGAGAGAGAGAGAGAGAGAGAGAGAGTCTGCCTACATGAGTGATCACTGAATCATGCAGCATCGGAGCCTGCAGTTGTGCACGTATGAAGTGTGCTTACGCGTTACAATGCATTATTAATCATCTCACAGTGGACAGTTCTGTTACACCCAATGAGACCCACAATAGCTAAAAAGACATCAATCTAAAATACTATGACAAAATATGCATCACATCTGTATTTAAAATACACAAACGGAATCAAATTAAATACAACATATTTATTTGTTCTTAATGTTTTGGTTTTACTTCTGTAATTAACTGTGATTCATTCTTCTTCCATTTATAGCGTTATTTATAGATCTACTAGTGCGCTTCCTAAAAGTTTCTGTTCTCATTTTTGTAAGATTCTATGATTTTTCAGCTTTTAGTTTGGACTGTTTTCTACAGTATTGCCAGTATCTCAAAAGGATCTTTACAGCAGTTCCTTCTCCCAGATCAAACTCTTCCTCATCGTCTGTCTATCTCAGCACGGTGTTCTCTCTGTCGTTAACACAGAGTAGCCCAGCCTTATGTAATAATAAGGGTCTGGTCAGACACACTTTTTGAAAATGGCTTTTTCGCGCCATCTCTCTCTCTCTCTCTCTCTCTCTCGGTGTGTCTCTCTCTCTCTCTCTCTCTCTCTCTCGGTGTCTCTCTCTCTCTCTCTCTCACTCACTCACTCACTACCGACTCCACTATCGTGCTGCATCCTTGCTACGTGCACATCTACACCAGCTTCATGGCAACACGGTACACAAGTGAACAGAGTCCAACCACTTTTTCCGGGCGGGTAGGGTCTCCTTCCACTAAACTGGTAAAAACGCCGAGCCTCGCTCTCCTGCGCGGCCGCTGAATCATAGCCGGCGCGTGAAAAATCGAGTGACAGCTGACTGTGTCAGAAATTGTGATGAATATAGTTAATGGCGGGAAACGGACCTGTCAAAAATGGTTCATTCCCAAAGTAAGACGTGCAAAACCGAACGCACCGCACCCCAACTATAACTCAGACCAAATCCACCAAACACACTGCTGCGGCTCCGCCCTCCCCCGGCGGCCCGCGATTGGGCGGTCAAGTCTGGGGGGCGGAGTTTGCCCTCAAATGGAACTCTGCCGCTGGCTGAGTGTCAACGCCAATAAAGTGCGATTTGCATAAGCAGGTCAGGTTGCAGACGCAGAGGAGTGGGCAGGGTTGGGGTAGCGCAACTGAACTGAACTTCTGCACTGCTCTTCTGAACCATTCTCAAAATCTCACTTTATTCAGAAATTCCTCAATTCGGACATCTGTTCGCACTTTTCCGTCTGTTTGACCAGCACAGCTCACATGGCAATTTGGATCCCTTATTCTGTGCTCAACTGATGCCATTGGATGGAAAAAAACTTGAGTGGTGAGTAACTGTGGCTCCTAGTGTAAATATTACCGATTATAATTATTACCTGATAATAGAAAAGACATTTCATTCGCAGAGGCTGTTGTTCTATCATATAAACGTGGTTATTTTTTTTTTCTTTTAGTGCCAGGATTATTTTCAAAGATTTGCTAAATATAGAGGTGCACTAAATATCTCACCACATAAATGTTGCCCCCTTTGTACAGTGGCCTCGTTTTAAGACACTTCGACAAAAACACATCACTCATTAAAGATAAAACAGTTTTCCCCCCACAGAAACCTGTTTTATTAATATTATAATCATTATGTTGGGTTTATTTATGAGGGTCGAACATCCACAGGTTTAAATAAATCCCAGGTTTAAATATAACAGTATATGAAACATAACCTTGTCGTTTATATGCCTAATAGTTAAACTCTACGGCTTAGCAGTGGTGATGGTGTAATGTGTGGTTTTTATTCAGTGATTCTTAAAAGCACTTTCTTCCATTGTCTCCTATAGCGTGTTATGGCGCGTTTCTGCCTATGTGAGATTTCTGAAAGCAGGTAAGCCACTGACTAACGCACATTGCGCCTCTTGTCCATTCCACTGTGCGTGTGACAGCGGCTAACCAGCTTTTGGACGCGCCTCAGACTTCAGCACTCGGACCGACTGTGGAGACCGCTTAAATCGTCCTGCCGGATGGCCGTAGCCCTCTCTCTTGGGTCTGTTCCCTCTCCATTACAGTAGTGTAGCCTACGTGCCACATGTCACAGTAACGCACTTCATCCATAGGCTGCCATAGGAGGGTGCCAAGACATACGGAAAGGTGACTGAACTATCATCTTAGGTTACCATACCGTGTCTCTTACTTTCACGGGCGCACTGTGTAGTGTTTTAACTTTGCTGTATTCTTCTTTTACTTATGAACCTGACCCCTCCTTCAACCGTGTGAACTCTTCAACTCAGTAGAGTTACAGTAGGCTGACTTTAATACTGGTGATAATGCACATGCTGGTCACACTGTAATGGCTGTGTCTTGAACAAAAATGATCATTAAAGCTCAAATGAAAATTATTTAATGTGTTATACTTTCATTTTTGTGCATTGTATTATATAAGAGTAAAAATCCCCATTTTAATCTCTCTGCTCTTAACACATGGTGCATTCAGGCCTTTCATGCTTGACATCCATTTGGTGGAAGCATGGTATCGTGCCCTGTTGGGAGTCTATGACAGGCACGGATGTTCATATCATGAGTGCTTTGGTCCACTGGCTACATTTGATTAGAACACATTGGAACCTGTTGACCTTCCTGTATAATAATGCCTCAGTGTTGTCTTCCACATCAGTATTAATTTACCATTCCATGTGACCTGCCACTCCTTTTTGCCCTCTATACATTGCCATTGTAGCCAATGGCCCACTGAAGACACTGTGAATAGTGTTTGTTTTCTGAGTGTTATTCAGAGCCTTGGCAGACAGGACTGATAGGTGCTATGGCTCTCAAAGCTGTTGGGATTTGGGGCTTAGCTTCCTCTAGCTATACCAGACAGTTCCCTGATCTTATCACCCTAATCCGATTTCACCCAATTAATCTTAATATCAAAACAAGCCAGTCTAGAGTAGCTCAGACAGGTGTGTATTAATGTATACATTTTTCAGGTAAGATGATGTAAAGTAGCTCACTTGAGGCAAAGGGACTGTCTTAGTAGGGTTGCAGTGATTTGGAAGGTTCTTTAAGGCATTAACTTGCTCATCCATGGTTGCCAAAGTTGAAAGGCAAAAACAAAAGTGAAAATTGTTTGACTGGAATTCAAGCTGCGCAGGAAGACAAATGATTCACCTGCTTGTCATGGCAATGTAAGTTAAATGGAGTGCGTCTCCAAGTCATGTGATGATTACTGTATTGCATATATCCGCCACAATTGTTGTATGTTTAGATTCTTGATATGTCATGTTATGAAAGCACGCAATATTCTAATAGTCTTCCAGCTGAACAGGATGTGGTGCTTCCTTTAGCATTAGGGGAAAGCTTTTTCCTCCATATTCCTCCATATTATGAAACATGTTGACACCATAACACTATTTGTTCTAATTCACATTCAACAGTGATTAAAAAAAAGAAAAGCCTTTGCAAACTGATTAAAAAAAATCATACACAATACAAGCCCCAAGCCGAGGTTATCTAAAACACGATGCACCATCTTTATTATACTTAAATACATAAACAAAAGTAATAGTTCTCTAGATATATCTTTCTGGTAATATCTTACAGTAAATACATGTTTACATGTTTGCAATGTAACAAAATGTCAATATATATATACTTGTATATACAGACAATATATGGTATATGGTTACACTGATGAGTGGGATCATTACAAACAGTAGGTGGTTAAGTACATTAAGGTGTAATAAGAGATCCTTGGCCCTGCCGTCCAGGTTTTACCTCCAAGACGACTCCCTGGATGTCAGGACTGCAAGACACACAAAAATATGATATGGAGTGATGCCTTCAGTGTTTAATTCGGGAAAGGTGACACTTTCGAGTCACCCTAAAGACTGTTACTAAAATAAAACCCATGCACTAGAGAAGCTCTCCCGGTTTGTCCCATGCCAGAGAAAACCTGGAACCACACAGTAACCAGCTGAAGGAGAAGACACCCACAAGCCCAAAAGGAAGCCAGGTAAATAATTAAAATAAATTAAAAATGAGGTGCATTACACACCCTGTGTGCTTCTTTTTTGTTATGTTCTGCAATATAACTAATAAGATAAAAACAGATTCCAAAAAACACATCTGAACACAATGAGAAGTATTAAAGAACTACCTCACTGTTTTTTAACCTAATCTCTATCTGCACATCTGTAGATTATGGTTGTTTACCATGGACAGTCATGTCCCTGCACTTGGGAAAGAACAGAAAAGTATTTGACTCAAAACACACATATAATGAGAACAAATGGGCAGGTGCTGCATCAATAGAAGCCAATGGGCAACTGCTTTTACACATTTTTTCTAAGCCTTTCTATGGCAGATACAGATCAGGTAAAAAAAAAAATGCTTTAGTATTTTTTTAGTTCCTAGTTTACACTGAAATGTTAATGAATTCTTTGGACTACAAAACAAGCTTTCCATGTTATGGAGCTTTTCACAGTGACCTTAATAGGGGGAAGAAGACGGAGCTGTGTGCACCTCAGACCCCAGTTTAACTCTGATCAGTCCACTCCACTCAACACTTATGCCAGACTTCAGACTGTGGCCATCAAGGCCACAGTTTTAGAACAAGTGTAATCCTTTCACTGGCTCCAATGTGAAGAAAAGTTGGTAATGAATATACATCATCCGAATAATGAGAATGAGAATATATTTATATGTCTTAATTATATGCTATTATAATTAGAGTTTTGGTGGAGTTACCCTTAACAATCATTCATCGACACAGCAGCAAGGGGCTTCTTCATAGCGTTAGACAAATACCTTTTGAAATAACCGTCAGAAAGAAATTATTTGACATAATACAATCATTCCACTATTTGGATCATTGTCTGTCCAGCACACACTGGCTCATTCATACTGCTGTATGTCTGTACAAATACTGTACTAACTGTAAAACATGACATTCAGTGATAGCACTGCCATATCATGGTGATCATTCTTTGCCGAGCACACTGTCTTGTTCTGTTGATAAAACAACTGTTACACAGACAAGTGCTGTCAGTGGCTTTGTAATAAGATCGCCGTCCTGTTACTCAGTATATCACATATACACACAAATACAAAACAGCACACGGTCTGGATCAGCAATGCACTCAGTTCATTTTTGTTGGTGTTTAGCTCAACCAAGAACCATAGATAACAGACACAACCACAGAAACAGGGCACAGGCACCAAACCAGCAGCAGGAGTTCCAGCAAAACGAAAGAAAAGGCTTAAAAAGGTAGGTGAGAGAGCACGTCATTACCAAAATAAATGTTCAAGGAGAGAAGAGGGAACACTTTAGTTTGTTATTATGAGCCACAAAACACCTTCACAAGCACCACATAAGGATTCAATTGTCACCCAACTATTTTGTGTGAATGCATGCCGCACAGACTGTCAGTATATCGTATACAATAGGGATGTGCATTTTGACTAATTTTGATATCCAAGTATCCATGAGCGTTAATAATCGGTTAACTGCAGGGAAGAGAAAAACAAGGACGGACTTTAGCCGACAATAATGTAGGGTTGTAGGCTTAATTGCAGCACGGAGATGAACAAATTTTAAAACATTTTTATATTCAAAAACAGGAAATGAGTATGTTTTCTTGCTGGCTGAGGAATAGAAGCTTACTCTTCAGGTGTGCAAATGAGCTAACACACAACTGGTACAACACTGGATGCTGAGGACTTTTTTTTTGCTGGTGGACAATCTGCCCTCTAATGACATTCTTAACGATGTGCTCACGGCAACAGCACTCCTGTTTCTTTCTAGCAAAGTTTAAGTTAAACACACTTTAAATCACAAATATGAGTGAACTTGCCATGTTTTACTGTATTGTTAAAAATGTAAAGCCAGCGTTTTACTGAATTCTTTGCCTGTATATTTTCTCTGTCTTTCCATGATAAAACAGAAAAATACCTATACAGTGATTTTAGATTTCAATACTGCCATCTTGAATAGTTAACTGAGTACTCGAGTACCCGTGCACATCCCTATACTAATGTATACCCTATGCTATTGGATTGTATAAGATAGTAACTGATGTACAATAGTTTAAGTACCATAATGTGAAGACACTGCAAGATGGCTGTTGCCTTACAGCCTGAACTACATTCGTATGGTGTGGCTTTGGAAGATGCTCTATAGATCTGGCTCTCACTCCTTTAAACTAAAGTGTTGAGAAGGATACAAAGTTAACACTTCATCTGAAGGGCACCAGGCAAGGACTTCACAACTTTCAGAACAAGGACTTTCAAGAATGAGGCATCATTGTCAAGAACTGATTTTGTGGACCATCAAATCTGACTGCATGAGATCCATCATCTCATCTGACATGCCTGAGAGGTGCTTTTTTTTGTTTATGATTTTGTTTACACTCGCATACTGTATACAAACAATGAAGGCAGCTCCTTGTAGACGCCTCACAGATGCCTCAAGAGCTCAATGAAACATTCTTACCTCTTCATGAACCAGTCTACTGTATGCAGGTTTCTAATTCTATTGTTTGCTGACAGTGATAATATAAACAGAAACTGCTGCTTTGTGACGCTTCATCAGATTACTGTTGGTCCTTACATCTAGAGATTTGTCTGTTTTTTTGAACACCTTAGAATGAAGTACTGCTGCTTTACGAAAGTTCACAGAGTTTCAATTTACACTGAGCTGCAAATGATGAACGTTGTCTGCACTTTTCCATGGGAAAAATGCACAAAGCTTCAAAGTGATCCTCAATTTATTTACCAAACAGTGACACTTTTTCTTCAGCGCAGAAGCACAAAAGGAATCACTGTTTCATAAATAAACTAAGCACAATTCCAGAACAAGGTTTTTCCTTCTTCCAGGAAAAGTGCAGTGTGCCGATTCCCTTATAGCCTTTTCAGAGGACTGCGCCTGTAAAATGTAACGAAAGACTATTTCTAATGCACAGGTGGCTCCCATTCAACACTGTACATGAACAAATATCATTTCCCTGCCTTTTAGCCTTGTGTGGTTCCCTTCAGATGAAGTGTCAAAGCAGACATACAGATACAAGCTTTATTAGAGGAGGGTGGTTAAGGAGGGGACACCATGCAGAGACCTCCACCCAGAAAAGGCTGCCGCCGCTGGGCTTGGCTGAGACAGGGAGGGGTTGCAGGGCAGGGTGGATGAGCAGGCAGGGCTGCAGCAGCAGGCTCTCACACATACACACCCTCAGGGTTGAGGCTGGACACCAGCGGGTGCTGTAGGTTACGCGGATGCCCCAGGAACTGCTTAGCTGTGGGACGCGGAGGGGAATCTGTGGAGAGAGGGAAGGCTGCATCAGTAAAACCAGGGATGCATTAGTTCTATCCCAACTGACTTAGCCATGCTCCGCACACAGTTGCGTTC